CACAGAAAAAGAACAGAGACGTTTGGATCACTCGGGGTAATAAGCCATTTGCTCTCCTCTTCTGTTTATAATAAATATTCAAATTTGGGTTAGTTCACTTAAAAAATTCTGTCATCATTTATTCACCCTCATGTTTCTGAAGTGCTTTTTCTTCAACAAAAGATGATTTTTATCGGAATTTTTATGCTGCTCTTTTCCAGACAGATGGTGATTTATATTGTCAATATACAGAAAGCAAACATCACCAACCCCATGTCTTGTGAAGTCATACGATTGCTCTGTATGACGAGTAATCTTCAAAATGTTCAAACGAGGCTAAATGATTCAGTGAACAAAATGATTGGAGCTGCTGAGGTTTTCACTGCCTTGTAATATAGCAAAGTAGGTGTCATGAAAAATCAATACAATTTATCTATTCTCTTTTTTTCTCAGATGCGTGCTGCCGAAAACGTCCGCACAAACCGCCAGTACCAGGTAATGGTGTCTCTTTCAAAGCAACTGATCATTAAATCTGTCTACAAAGTGCACTTTGCATCAGATCAACAGATGAAAGGTTCCAGCTCACCACAATCTCTTATTTCATACAGTGTAAATCAACTCAAGTCCTTCTGAATTTTGACATTAATCTCCCGTTCAAATACACTTTGACTCTTCTGAAAGACTCTATGGGCTGCTTGTTTGGTCTAATCTTTTCTCGGTTCATAATCAAATGAATTAATTTTTTTAGGAGGTACTTAGAAATCTGGTTAAGCGGTATGTGGCAGCAATGATTAGGGATGCCAAAAAAGAAGAGGGATTAACTGAGGAGAACTTTAAGGTAAAGTGTACTTGTTTTTTATATATTTATTATTTACATACATATCTACATAACTTTTATTTTTACATTTTCTGTTTTCACTTTAGTTTAACATTTAGTAATTTTATGTGCTTTTGTCAATTTTATAAGATTTCTTTTTGGATTTAATTTCATTTAATTTATTTAATATTTTATAACTTTATTTTTGTTGTAAGCCAAAACTTACAATTTCCATTTCAACATTTTCTAATATTTATATTTTATTCAGCTTATTATATTTAATTTATTATATAGCTTTATTTAATTTAACATCAATTATTTTCTAAGTTTTGGTTTATAATAAAAACACTGCTTATTACACAGCTACTTATCAAACAAAGAAATAATTAATACATAAAGACAAATAAGTATATAAATAAATTAGTAAAAAAACAACTCCAAATGAATATTTATCTGTAAATATGTGTGTGTGTGTGTGTGTGTGTATATATATATATATATATATATTAGTGCAACAATTAATCGTGATTAGTCGCATCCAAAATAAAAGTTTTTGTAATATGCGTGTGTACTGTGTATACTTATGTATATATAAAGACACACATACAGTATATATTTTGAAAATATTTACATGTATTTATATTTATATTCATATAATTTATATTATATATAAATATATTAAATATATAAACATAACATATTTTTCCTAAATATATACATGCATATGTGTGTATTTATATATACATAATAAATATACACAGTACACACACATATATCATGTACACAAAAACTTTTATTTTGGATGCGATTAATTATATTTGATTTTTCTTAAATTGTTTTACATCAACTGTACATTATAGTTTACTGAGCAATGTGTGGTTATTATAACCATAGGAACTTAAACAGGACATCTCAAGCTTCCGTTACGAGGTGATGGGAATGGTGAAGGGCACTAAGATTGGTGTGTCGAACTCAAAAGGGCACACAGGAGCTTCAAACCTAGTGTATCCTGATAACCCTCTAAAGTGCAATTCTACTTCAGCTGGAAGTCAACTAAAAGGCAAAATGAGACTGCAGAACGTCGCCACCTCTGTGATCCAGGTGGGCGGACCCAAAGCCAACTCCTGGAAGCCTGGCGGCTTAAGCGGCCTAGCGGATGGTTTCGTCTCACAAAATATTGTAAGCAATCAAATGAACCGCAAAGGGCCAAACAACCCAGGAGAGATTTACTCTGTGTCAGAAGAAGCTGGTGAATCTGAAAGTGAAGAACAGGATGATGACGAACAGGGAGAAAACGAGAACCAAAACAATGAAACAGAGAAGGACGGAATGAATGAGACTTTGCAAGAGGATGAAGAAATGTTATATATGCGTTATATGTGTGATGAAGAGATGAAGGAGGAAAACTAATCTGAAGGAAGCAGATTATAACAGCATTCACACTCTGAAAAAGTAACAATCAGATTCCGAATGCTGCAAGAGAAAGAGAAAGATGCTGTTCTCCTGAACTCTCTCTTTATCCCAGAAGCAGCTGTGGCGAAGGTCCAGTGCAGGGCGCTGCGTCTGTATGATCTGAACATCAAGTGTTGTTCTGGAGGCTCAGGGATGATTGCCACTTTTAGGAGAATATGGGGTCCAACATTGTCATTCACAGTGATTTACACTCTCAACTGTGTAAATGCTCCTGTAGTTTATCGCTGCTCTGCTTCCCTTTCTGCTGAATCATATATGAAGGAGCAATAGCCGACCCCTTGCTATTCTAGACTTTTCATTCTGCCTTACTCTGTTAGATGTAGCATTTTATGCTATCTGTGGTTCCAACGTTAAGAGATGTCATTACCGTCATGCAACCTAATATCTTTAATAAAGGTTACTATGCAAATATTTACAACTTTTTACCTTTTTAGTCACGTTTTGCATTGAGCAAGAGGCAGTTGTATAAAAGAAGGAACCGGATGAAGGGTGTCTTTTTATAAACATGGATTAAAGTCCAAAGTAAACACTACATATCGTTAAGTCAGTATGGTACAATGTACTCATGTAATCATGTCCGTTTCCTCCTCCTCTCATTTGTATTCATCCTAAAGAACAAGGAGAACGTCTCGGTTACGTATGGTAACCCTCGTTCCCTGAAGGAGGGAACGGAGACTTATAGAGTTTGCACAGTACATAGTCCTTTATGCTTCTAAATGTCTTATTCCATCTATCCTTGTTGTTTCCATAACAGATTATTGCCTCTTATTGCAGATCATGAATTAATGCACAAATATAAATAAATAAATATATGCTGTACTATGACTCAGTATTATTGTGAGTATTATTGTGAGTGACTCAGTATATATTTTCATAACCAGAGGGAAAAAAGAAAACCTCACACTGCATTCAAACAGCACAGTGAGAGAGAACTTAAAGCAATAAACGTTATATTAGATGTAAGGTAAATTCTGTTGTGATTAATTTGATTTTGACCCATGGCATGCCATATTTTAACCAGCATCAGGTTATCTACTATACTAATGTAAAAGGAGGATCTGTAATGGTTTTACTGTAAATAGGCTCAGACTCCTGCAGTGCTGCACAGTTTGATGGGGTGGGAACGTTAAACTGTGGGCAGATTTCACCATCTAATTTGATTCACATTCTCCATCCTTCACCAGGATACAAAGGCCTATCTATAATTTATTTGAATTAGCACCCTAGAGAGTCCAGTGTGCAGCCCAAGGGCACTTGAATGAAGTTTAAAAGAGCAGCGAGTCATTTGCACTGCAGCAAGGGGTAATGCGCTGACACGCTATGCTTTGTGAATGCTAAAATCCAGAACTACTGAGCTGACCTCACAGGGATTTTCAACAGTTACATCACTGAAGAGGGATAGAAAAATACAGAAAATTTGATCTTTGTGTATTCCAGACAGGCTGCCAGTCCGTGTATTAGTGGTGAGGATGCTTCAGTGACTCTTTCTGCAGGTTACCAGTAGGTGACAACAAGCAATTTGTATATTAATTCAACTGATTCGTTCAAACACATTGAATCATTCAGGAACAAAACAACCTTCTGTTGTTTCTTTATGAGTGAGTCACTGAATCATTCACTCAACCGATTTGTTCAAAAACAGAATTATTCTGGAACAAAAGACCACTACTGTGTGTTACTTGGAGATGTGCAAAAGCTGATTCTGCTTTGACTTCCTTTGGAAGTATTTTTGTTGGCAGAGGGAAAATGGATGTTTTCTAGATATACCCTAATCACAGCCTGAGTACACTGTGCATAGGGGAGACAGGGCTAGGTGTCACACACAGAACAAAGGTTTATATTTAAGTAACTATACGTTTTGGGCTCAAAAGTCCCATTACATAAACATCTCTTGATTTCAACAACCTACAATAAAAATTAATCTTATTACAATTTTATACTATGTAGCAGTTGCTACATAAGGTTTGCGTTACGGCCATTGCTATTTGCCGTTCTTGCCATTGGATTTAAATGGAGCCTCTATCGGTCATGGAGATGGGTACTGTGTTCTCTCGCAAAAACGATTTCGTCCTGTGAGTGAACACAAAGTTGGTGATGAATATAAATATTGAAAAACTATATTTCAATGTTTTTGCAAGCGAACACAAAGGTTCTCAGGGGAATGCAAGACTTTTGTGAGCAAATACAACATTTTGTGGGGGGATGCACATGTTTTGCTCTATCTCATATTTTTCCACCATCATGCCCTCTTACAACACAAAACTTCCATTAATTCATGTCTCAACATTTTCTGACCCAAATTTGGCAATGATCCGATGAATCTCATTTATTAAATTTCAGTGCTACAATTCTCTGGAATCACTGAGTCCATTCTGTTTGTTTGTGTGGGTGCTGCACATTGTAAATAGCTATTCTGGTACTAGTGACTACTAGATCAGTATCTTTTAGAACACAATCTAAATGACTCTGTAGACCTTTGTTCAGCTAGTCACTTCTTGTCAAAACTCAGGAATGTATCTTTATTACCAGTGCATTTCTCAGCAATGTTGTAAAATCTAGTTACTGTAAAAGAAATCTGCTTAGTGACCCTAGTGGACTTTTTAATGGGACTTTGTTAATGTTAAATACGATCACGTCTTACAGACACGCCTGTTCTGCAGCCTTCTCTTAAACACAGAACCAGGAAACTAGTGTGGTGTTGAGCTGTCTTTCTTCATCTACATGTATTCAAATGGCAGAAGCTAGACTTTATGTGAGCCGGGAACAGTTCAGCTGTTCGATCTGTCTGGAACTACTGAACGATCCAGTGACCATCCCCTGTGGACACAGTTACTGTATGGACTGTATTAGACGCCACTGGGATGCAAATGCTCATGAGAGACAATACAACTGTCCTCAGTGCAGACAGACCTTCACTCCAAGACCTGGTTTAGGGAAAAATGTGATGGTTGCTGAAATGGTGGAGAAACTGAAGAGGACAGAACTCCAGCCTGCTCAAGTTTCTCACACTGAAGCTGGACCTGGAGATGTGGAGTGTGATGTCTGTACTGGCAGAAAATATAAAGCCATCAAATCCTGTCTGGCGTGTCTGAACTCTCTCTGTCAAAGTCACTTTCAACAACATGAGAATGTCTTCAAAGGTGAGAGACACTGTTTGATTGATGCTACTGAGCAACTAGAGGAGATGATCTGTCCGATACACAATGAGCTTTTGGAGATTTTCTGTCATACCGACCAGATGAGTATTTGTATGCGGTGTACGATGGGTAGACACAAAAACCATGATGTGACAGGAGCAGAGAGAAAGAATCAGGTATGAATTAGAAACAATAATGCAACTAAGCAAATGCTTGGCCATCACATGCATGCCATGTACTTGCTTTTGGTTTTGAATTGCTTGCCAGCCCATTTCAACAAAGTTAATAATCCACTGAAGAACCTAATAACCAAATGAAATCCCTCTGACCAAGCACTAATGCGTAAAGTATAATTATGGCTTGCAAACAGTACATTACAAATGTTTTGCCTTGTGTAATAGTATGCATTTTTAAATTTACACAAATCCAAAAAATACAGTTAAAGGGTTAACATTTTTTCACCCAAAAATGAAAATTACTCGCCCTCATGTCGTTTCAACCCCATAATATGTTCGATAATCTTCGGAAGACAAATTAAGACATTTTTTAAGAAATCTGAAAGCTTTCTGACCCTGCATAGACAGCAACGTAACTACCACGTTCAAGGCCCAGAAAGATAGTAAGGACATCGTTAAAATAGTTCATGTGACATCAGTGGTTTAACTGTTATTTTATGAAGCTAAGAGAATATTTTTTGTGTGCAAAGAAAACAAAAATAATGACTTTATTCAACTATTTCGTCTCTTCTGTGTCAGTCTTCGATGCGCGTTCACGAGAGTATCACGACGCATACGTGTGATGCTGCTGATGCAGGAGCCGGCTTTTCTAATTATGGGAGAAAATCTTTCTCTAAAAGACTAAAGAAAAAAATGGACAATTTCCTTAATTCGGAGGTAGTGGTTGTATCTGGTTTGGGTACGTTGAATTAATTCAGGAATGAAGCATGTAAATAAATACTACTGTATATTAAATACAAAGGATTACATTAAATATGTTAATTTTTTTCATAGTAATGCGCTGCAAATTTCCTACCGATGGACCCAGGAACAGGAATCAGATCCTACAATGTATGTCACTCCACATAACCTCAAACATGTACACATATGACATGACTTTCCACTGACTGCTACTGTTTTAATAGTGAATTTAAAGGCATGAAACAAAGGTTGTGAAAGTGTTTTCTTCCTATTGTTACGTATATGGGAGTTAAACGGCTTCTTGAACAAGAAAAAATGTAGGGCGGGACTTCATTTTTTCCATCAGGAACTGATTGGATCATTGTGGTTTGCTATTGCTGCAGTCTCATGTGAATGACAGGTTGTCCCACCCTCGGGCCATAAACACGTCATCAGAGAAGAGGAAAGATGTTGTAAGAGAGAGGGGAAGTTATATTGAAAAATTTAAGAAAACTTTGTGTGCAAAGAAAACAAAAATAATGACTTTATTCAACTATTTCGTCTCTTCTGTGTCAGTCTTCGATGCGCGTTCACGAGAGTATCACGACGCATACGTGTGATGCTGCTGATGCAGGAGCCGGCTTTCTGACATAGAATGTACATCTTTCTTAGTTCATATAGTCTGGTTCAAATAAATGAGGCTGGGCAAAAAATTGCAAGTCATCCTCTCTGTCAAAATCATCAGACATGTTTACGAAGACAGTGCATCCAGGTTCTATAAAATATATTTATATACAGTATACATACAGTATACATATATATATATATATATATATTCTAATTAAATATGTTAATTTTTTTCATAGTAATGCGCTGCAAATTTCCTACCGATGGACCCAGGAACAGGAATCAGATCCTACAATGTATGTCACTCCACATAACCTCAAACATGTACACATATGACATGACTTTCCACTGACTGCTACTGTTTTAATAGTGAATTTAAAGGCATGAAACAAAGGTTGTGAAAGTGTTTTCTTCCTATTGTTACGTATATGGGAGTTAAACGGCTTCTTGAACAAGAAAAAATGTAGGGCGGGACTTCATTTTTTCCATCAGGAACTGATTGGATCATTGTGGTTTGCTATTGCTGCAGTCTCATGTGAATGACAGGTTGTCCCACCCTCGGGCCATAAACACGTCATCAGAGAAGAGGAAAGATGTTGTAAGAGAGAGGGGAAGTTATATTGAAAAATTTAAGAAAACTAAAGTAAAAAAAAAAAAAAAAAAAAAATTTTACAAAAATGATGTGCACAGATACATTTTTTTAATATAAATACTGCAATATTCAAAAAAATGTAAATGTCAATTTTGATTTCATGGCGGCTTTAAATATTATGTTTAATATTGTATTGTATCTCCCTTAGATTCACACAAGCTCTCAATGGATTCAAACACAATGAATGAAACACTCCTACTGTCTGGAGGAAACAGAGTGGCTACAAACACTGGCAAAGTCCAGCTATATCCCAAACATCCAGACAGATTTGATTGTTGGCCTCAGGTCCTGTGTAAAGAGAGTGTGTGTGGACGAGCCTACTGGGAGTTTGAGTGGAGTGGAAGAGCTGGTGTGGGAGTATCTTTGGCCTATAAGAGCATTTGCAGGAAGGGAAATGGTGACGAGAGTAAATTTGGATGTAATGATCAATCAATGAATTTGTACTGTTCTCCTTCCAAATACAAATTCTGGGACAGTAACAAAAAGACTAAACTATCTGTAAGCATTTCTAAATTAAAGACTTCTAGATTGGCAGTGTATGTGGATTACAGTGCTGGAATTGTGTGCTTCTTCAGCATCTCTGACAAAATGAAACTCATCTACGTAGTCCAGACCACATTCACTCAGCCCATCTATCCTGGGTTTAGGGTTTATTGTGGATCATCAGTGAAACTGTGTGATCCAGCAATGAACTGTACATGATTTTGAGAGAGATGTGAGATTCAAATCGACGTTATGGTATTATTTTTCTGTCAATAAATCTGTACTATAGTTTAGTTTAAAAAAAAAAAAAAAAAAGGACGAAAAAAGAATAACATACAAAGAGAAAATTGTAGATTAGATTTACATATACTGCCATTAAAAAGTTTGGGATCAGTAAAAATTGTAATGTTTTTTTAAGACGTTTCTTTTGCTGCATTTATTTAATCAAAAATACAGAAAAAAATTTAATATTGTGAATTTTTACAATTGAAAATAACAGTTTTCTATGTAAATATATATTAAAATGTAATTTATTCCAGTGATGCAAAGCTTAATTTTCATCAGCCATTAACCCAGTCTTCAGTGTCACATGATCCTTCAGAAATCATTGCTGATTTATTATCAATGATGGAGACAGTTGTGCTGCTTGATATTTTTTGGAACCTGTGATACTTTTTTCAGGATTCTTGGATGAATAAAAAGTTACAAAGAACAGCATTTACTTAAAATAGAAATATTTTGTAATAATATACACTACCGTTTGGCATCAGTAATTTTTTTCTTTCGTTTTTTGAAAGAAATCAATGCTTTTTTCCACAAGAACACATTAAATTGATTTAAAAAAAATTGATAATAAAGACATATATCGTTAGAAAATATTTCTATTTTGAATAAATGCTGTTCTTTTGAACTTTTTATTCATCAAAGAATCCAGCAAAAAGTATCACAGGTTCCAAAATAAATAAATAAATACAAATAATAAATTTGTTTTAAAAAAAAGCAGCTCAACTGTTACCAACACTGATAATAAATCATCATATTAGAATGATTTCTGAAGGATCATGTGACACTGAAGACTACAGTAATGGCTGATGAAAATCCAGCTTTGCATCACAGAAATATAATATAATATATATATATATATGTGTGTGTGTGTGTGTGTGTCAATGATGGAGACAGTTGTGCTGCTTGATATTTTTTGGAACCTGTGATACTTTTTTCAGGATTCTTGGATGAATAAAAAGTTACAAAGAACAGCATTTACTTAAAATAGAAATATTTTGTAATAATATACACTACCGTTTGGCATCAGTAATTTTTTTCTTTCGTTTTTTGAAAGAAATCAATGCTTTTTTCCACAAGAACACACACATTAAATTTAAAAAAAATTGATAATAAAGACATATATCGTTAGAAAATATTTCTATTTTGAATAAATGCTGTTCTTTTGAACTTTTTATTCATCAAAGAATCCAGCAAAAAGTATCACAGGTTCCAAAATAAATAAATAAATACAAATAATAAATTTGTTTTAAAAAAAAGCAGCTCAACTGTTACCAACACTGATAATAAATCATCATATTAGAATGATTTCTGAAGGATCATGTGACACTGAAGACTACAGTAATGGCTGATGAAAATCCAGCTTTGCATCACAGAAATATAATATAATATATATATATATATGTGTGTGTGTGTGTGTGTGTGTGTATGTAAACTGAAAAGTGTAAATAGTTAAAAGACACTTTTTTGTGTGTGTTTCTATAATTGCTACAGTATCACTGTGTTAGCAGCATGTTAACAAACTGAAATCATTTGTGAGTAGAGACTTATATGCACTTTGCATGTATTTGTGTGATGCACATTGCATGTTCCAAATCGGATATGAGGTTTCATTTCTGGACAGGCAGTAAGTGCCTTAGAATTAAAATAATTGTGTAAATAATACACAGAGTAAAAATACTCATTATAGGCAGTCTGTACACACAAACTGGACTGGAGCAAAATTTAAGCAACCTAGTGAAATCAAATGTATCTCAAGAAAAGCAAAACGTATATTACATTAAAGAATAATAAAAAGTTCTGGAAAAGTCATAACATTGTTCACTTTGTGAGTCTTACTGTCTTTCTATAACTTTTAAATTGATCCCAGATCCCTTCTATCTGACCTATAGCGCATGAAAATAATACTCACAGCTAAGTTATTTTTCGCTCTTTAGTTTTTGCAGTGATTATTTTTCTACAGTTTATATTGAAAGTGGCGACAATTAAGTCCGTATGAGTGAGTCACTGAATCATACACTGAACTGACACACAGAGATCATCATTCCTGCTGCATTGAATCCCGCTTTGGCGTCGTTTGGAGCTAACTGGCCAATAGAAACAAGCGATATACATTTATAACTTTGTAAGTTACAACATCAAACTTCTTGTTCGTGTAATACTGCATAAATTTAGCTCATGACAGCGGTTCTTTTAATTCATATTACAATTCTGATACAATACATTGCCAAATTCAAGCTAGAAGAGGCCGTTTTTGCGCTACTAGTGTCACCTAGCGGAACTACAAAAATACAAAAAAGCTTTGCAAAAACGCCCCAAACAAAGCTCTTGCATGTAAGGCAAGTCTCAGCAGGTAGAAGTATGCTACTTTCAACAAAAGGTCCAAAGGAATACTTTTGACTTAATGCTTGGCTTACCTGTGGAGAACAAACGTCGCAAGCTCGTCGTATCGTTTGAAACCGAACATTCCATCAAATTCCTCCATCTTGTAAAACACTGTTTGCCCTTGTTGTAGAGACCTGCACCCAACGCAACAGGGTGCGGCGCGGGACAACTCTTGATGGGCGAGTGCGGGTGCTGGCGGGAAGAGACTCGTGTGTGTGCGGGATGCGGGAGAATATAATGATTCGCGGGACTCCTAAAAAATATAAATTATCTAAGCATAAAATGTCTAAACCATATAAATTGTTATGTGTTGCACAAAAGCAAAAAGAACAACTAATAACATTAAAATGATTAACACAGACAGGCTAGGCAGCGTTTCTATTTATAACACGTGTTTAAAGCAGGGTTGCGCACTGTAGCCAATCACAGACTCAGCTGTTGATTTAAAGGGGTCATATGATGCGATTTCAATTTTTCCTTTCTCTTTGAAGTGTTACTTGGTGCATAAAGAAGATGAATTATGAAGCTCTTGGTGCATAAAGAAGATCTGTAAAGTTGCAAAGACTAAAGTCTCAAATCCAAAGAGATATTCTTTATACAAGTTAAGAGTCAACCACGCCTACCTAAAATGGCTTGTTCTAACACGCCCCCACATGTCTATGTCAAGATGTGGGAAGAGTAGAACACAAAATAATGTTCTTTTTAGCAACATCATATGACCCCTTTAAGTTAGAATCCACTCACCGTAATGCTGAAATTGCGTGCTCACGAATCGTCTAATTTTAACACACAAAGTGCAGACATTATGAAAGACATTATAATTGTGCATATGTTAATTGTGTTATAACAGAGCTTTATGAGATCGCGATGAACTGAGATGTCAGCTTTTAATGATAATAAAGGAAGCGCTGCTCGCATTCTGCCATGCCAAACCATGCACGCAGCAGCCCATGCTTGCTTTTCTGTTAAAAATAACAGTGGTTTGTGAATGTTGATGCTTAGCCTAAATAACAAATATTTTACCGGGAGCATTTATGCTGGGATGTTGTGGATCTTAGGAGATGTTACAGAACCATTTAATGTAAATTTCTGATGTACTGAAAAAAATTCTATATAGATTACTTTTATGCGGGCTTTTGCGGGCGGGCGCGGGACAAAACATGAATGTCGCGGGCGGGAGCGGACCCAGATAAGATATTTTTCTGCGGGAGGGGGCGGGCGCGGGACAAAATCTTGCGGGAGCGGGACTGAAAAATCCATCCCGCGCAGGTCTACCTTGTTGTACCCCATTGTCTGTCTCTGTGTATTTTGGCGAGTCTTCAAATTTTGCTTGCAATTCTTGAAAGAAAAATTAATCCACACCTTGTAAACACCCTCCAGATCAGCCTGCTGCAGTAGCCACGCCCCAAACTCTCGCTATTGGCTGCGCGGAGGTATGCAAATACACATGTTGACAGGCAGGTAGGACATCCTATCATTGCATTCGATCCTAAGCCTTCCACAGAAGAAATATATTTATATTTATATATTTAGACCACTTGAATTACTGATTTCTGTCAGGATGTGAAGAGACTTAAGGGACTATCTTTATGATGTTTTTCATTATTAAAACAACAACAACAACAAAACTCTCCTTACTATTACAGGACGCTGCTCTGCAGCAAAAGGGAATTCATTTGTTGTCATTTGTGTACTGCTAGGACTCCACCACTAGAGGTAGATGCACACACAGGGTTAAAACAGACATAAATTAATGATCATAGTTCTTAAACCTGTGTTTTCTGACACTAATTCAAATCCCTTCCCACTATTATTCCCATCATCTGTTCACTTTTTCCCCCACTTACATTTCCGTGCCAGACAGCATGAGATAAATTCAGATGAGATTCTTGGGAGCTTTTAAAACAGTCCCATCTGGCTTTGACTTGTCCAAAGGACTGCCTGAGGCCTGAACCACAAGCTCCAGCTTAAAGCCGTCAGAATCCAGATATGGACAGCAGCCCGATGATAAAGAAACTGGCAGGAGATTGAACAGTTAGTTATCCTTTCATCTTCAGTTAGTTATCCTATCCATTCCCCCAGTAGCTTTCTACAGATAGTGAACATCCTGTTTCTGAGGACAAACCAACAGAGCACCTGAGAAAATGATGGTGTAATTTAATGATAAAGCTTTGTTCTGTCACTTATAAAGATTTATACTGAGCTGCAATGATTTAAAAAAGTGTAATGTTTGCAGAATATGTGCATAAATGCATCTAAAACATTCGGCATACAATGTGGATATTTTATATGTAATACACCTAAACATTTCCAGATGTCATACCATTGCAAGGGCCTCCGATTCTCTTCTTTCTGTCTCTGTAAATGTAGAAGGTCCTTGTTAGGCGTGCAGGGTTCTCACGGAGGGGGCGGATCCATAGGAAGCAGGTTGATTCTCTCTCTGTATTAATCTCCGTCAGTGTGTCATTGTGTGTGTTTGAGACAGAAAGAGAAGGGGAGGGCTGCTATAAAGGCCGGTTCCCTGTTGCTCGCTCCCATTCCTTCTGTTTTTTCAGTGGGTTTGATCTGCAGGGTATACTCCAGTATGATACTCCTGTTTACGGCCACCTTTACCATCCTGGCGCTGTCCTCCCTGGACCAGGTGGAGTCTTCAGCGTATGACAAGATAGTCACACACAGTCGCATCAGGGCTAAGAATGAAGGGTAAGCGTTGATTGTTTTAAGGGTTCACCTTTGCCGGCTGGGAAAAGGTGGTCCGTTTTGTTAATACTGTTAATGGCAAATGTAAAATTACATATTAAAAGTCTGGGATTTTTGGGGGGAATGCTATTTAAAATACCTTTCACTCAGATTATGTAGATATGTAATATTTTTAATGGAAAATTGTATGAAATTGCAAAATTATATTAAATTGTATTAAATAAAAAAAGAAATTACAAAACTGACATTTTCACATAGAAGTCTCACACTCCCACTGTATTTCATATTAAGTATTATATTTATCTTATACACAGTATAAATCTATGTTCATTTAAGTAATATCTATATACATAAAAGTATTTTATTGAATAAAAAAACATCATGTGCAGGTTTTTGAAGCTGAATATATGTGTATATATATATACATATCTATTTTACAATGTTAGAAATCTGTGTCATCAACATAATTTAACAATGCTGAATATTTGAATCTTTTTTATTTATTAACCATACATTTCTAAAACATAAATGGACTAAAAAGCAATTTTCACTTTGTTCAGTCAGCTATTTAAAGCAATTTGTCAGGACTTCTATATAATCACCTGCCTAATTGAACACACTGTGGCCTGTAAGTCTGTCATGTATGAAGTTATCAACCATCCCCAGAGGGTTTTTTGTAATGCATATGCTCCCTCCACTCTCTTTTCCAGGCCCAATGTGTGCGCTTTACAGCAGGTCATGGGGACCAAGAAAAAGTACTTCAGCACATGCAGGAACTGGTATAACAAATCCATCTGTGGTAAAAAGGCGTAAGTTGTCCATCGCTTTTCACTCTGACCCTCTCTGCTTTTCGCGAGGTTTCTGCCCACGGACTTATTAGAGGTCAGGGGTCACCGGGACACAGCACCTGTAGTTCTGAAGGTGACGGTGGGTCATATTGGTGATGGATTACATTGGTTAGGCTTGTTCAGTGCTGTAGGGTGTGTTCAGGGAAAGTGAATGAAGCAGAAGCATTTGAAGCTGTTTTGTAGTCTTCATACAGATCGGTTTTGTTCTTTGTTTTGTATTAGTAATGATTCAAGACAGTTAGATTTTTGCCAAAACAAGCTGGTCCAGAGCATAAATACTCCCTAGAGCAATATGATTTATGATACAAAAACATATTACACTTTGGAGCTCTTCTCCCAGCTCGCAGCAGGATGAAACAACAGTTGTCAGCCGAGTGCATCTTACTGTACTTGTTTATGGCAGATAAACCGCAGCTCATGTGCGCTGACTATGACATGTTTATTGTCGCTCCACTGGCTTCTCTCTCTGTTTTCTTCACAAATGCCACACTAATTTACTGCATGTTCACTGAGAGGATGATGTAAGCGTGTTTCTGGGCTCTGTGAGACTGTGATGGAGGCCTCTGCAGGGACTGGTGACCAGTAATTGGCAGGCAAAACTTTTCAGGCTCAACTCAGCCTTTCCACTGGCAGAGATCTGTTGAGTGTGAAAGAAAAAAGAAAAACCTTTGACCTCAGGAAATGTCTGTGTTGGGTTGTGCAGTTTTTTTCTGTCATTCTCTTTTTTGATCATAGGTATCTCCATATGTTCGGTTTCCATGTTTTATGAGGACAAAAATAGATATTAATTTATAATACCTTTTATATAAAGCATATATACAAAGTATATGTTTTATATTTTATCTAATATAATACATTCATATATTTTAGATGTGGTTTAATTGTACAATTGTACTATTGTACAATTAACTGTCCTTTTTGCAGCCACTGTACAATTGTACAATTGTATGGGCGTTGTCTCAGTGTGTTTGATTGTGCGTGTGTGTGTGTGTGTGCGTGCGAAGGGGTAGGGTTAGGTGTAGGTTTGGTGTAGGGCAATAGCACATACAGTTTGTACTGTATAAAAACGATTACGCCTATGTAATGTCCCCACAATTCACAAAAACAAACGTCTGTGTGTGTGTGTGTGATCGTGCAGCAGCATGTCCAGGAACCTAAAGGCCCGATTCTTCTTCATACCTGTAGTCTTCAGACATACATTGATTTTGGAAGATATTCTCAGCTTTAAATTATTTCACAACCGTTGCCCTCAGTTTAGCCTTCTCATGAGAGACTTATAGAGAATTAAAAAGAATTACAATGAGTCTCCTGCCAACTTTAATCAATCTCCTGTGAGATTTATGATACAGCTCAATTGTCATCCTTTTTATCACCTGCAGTGTTGTTTTCTCCTGGATTTCTTCCAGCATACATGGCTGCAGCCGCTATGGTCACTGTAGGAAACATATGAAAGAAATTTAGAATGTGTCTACTGGGAGGTCAATAATAAAAGCACTAAACACCCCTGCCTGGCGTCTCCCCCCAGTTCCCCCTGACTAAACTCTGGGCAGCAATAGGTCCGGAGCTGCCCAGCTTGCTGTCTCTCCTCTGGTCACACTGGGGAAATTTGAGTCAGGCCTTTCTCAGGGGTCCCGCTGGCTTCCTTTTTCCTTCCTTCACCGACACTGGGAACATTGTTCAGTGTCAGGGGATGAACTCCTCCACAGCTGCAATGCCTGTGCCTCCAGACGCTATCATCATGATAAAAAAGAGAAACAGAGCAATTAAATCTGTGTGGTGTCAGGTGCGTGCTTCCAACCATATCGCTGTCTGACAAACAGCAGGCCTACATGGCATGATAAGCCACAGATTTCTCGCTAAAACCAGTGAGGAACAACATTAGTCATGGGAGAATTTTATTCACGCCATCTGCAGACAGCTGTTAGAAAGCTTCTTTGCTCTTTTTTAGTGCATTAGAACAGCTTTTAGGCTACTAGCCAACATTCAAATTACTGTGTTTACTCTTAATAAATATCTAAAATGATTTGAAACTAGATTTAAATGTAAATAAAATTTTTTAAAGTGTTTACACAAATTAAGATATTTAGCGTGGAAAGGTCATACTAAATTTTTGGAAGTATTACTGTACTTTATTTTTTACATGACAATTCATTTCAACATCTCTAGACATCATTGAGATTAAATGAAGCGCAAATTGAGACATTTTGAAAGTATCTGGCTTCTATTTTTAATCTAATTGATCTTTTTTATTTTCATGAGGAAAAGCATCCAAATCTTTCTCCTCTGAAGGTTCACAAGAGATCTCTCCTGGGCTCAGATTTGCCTAAAGTTAAGACATTTCAGTTTAAACTTGTCTTTGAAAAAGAATTTGCACTTGAAAAATTATTTTTGATAATATATGCCTGCTACTTTCTCATTTGTATCAGATTTTACATTCCCTTAGGGATTTAATGAGAAACATCTAAAACAAAGATGATACTTGCATGAAATGTAACTGAGACCACCTGAGCCACCTTTTGAGCAATAAAATCTCCTTCTAAGAGCACATATCAACCTGTACGCTCATGATGTGTTCAATAAACTGCTAGAACAATTCAAAATTTTCCCCACTGCATGCCAGATACACTATAGAGATACCAGTTGAAATTACTGCCTAAAATAAACATCAATCATACTGTCAAAACAGCCCAGAGGCAAGTGACCTCACACGTTTCAGACAGTATGCTTTCTCTGTCAGGGTTGGCTCAGATTTGGGTTGTTGCCCTCTTATTATGTCAAATTTTCGAGGATTTGCCGATGAGGTGATAACTGTGGAACCTGAGATTTAGATTTACTGTCAACATTCCAAGGAGAAATGATCTTATTGTAATATATTAGAATATTTTTCGGGTCATTGAAAGTGTACAGAGAAGGTCTTTTGGAATCTTTTCTAATTCATTAAATTGTGTTTTCTTAATATAATACACATTTTACACTTATTGGTAGACATTGATTCCAGAACATTGTGAGGCAATTCAGTTTTTAAAAACGGCAAAAATGTTAAGAGAAAAAAAACTAAATCAATAACAAATCCAGATAAAAGTCCAGATGGTTGAGCAAACATGTTTTATATGAAAAAGACACATCTGAATACATTTCAAAATGAACAAGACATGCTTAAATAATTTATCACATGAGTTTTCAGGACTTAATATGAAACGAATGTCAATTCCTTCCATTTTATATGAATGGAACAAATTTGGTAGGAATATTTTACATTCTATAGCTACATCATTTGAATATGATGTACATCAGTTTAATATTTTGACTCTTTCTATGCAGGATGATCTTATATGAGTGCTGTCCGGGTTATATGAAGTTAGAAGGGAAGCGAGGGTGCCCTGCGGGTCAGTATTCATTCATTTCACCAATAGAAATATATTTTCTTAAGAGGTTTCTAGTCTGAGTGGTTGTTAGAATACTGCTATATGGTTATTGCAGCATTCTGCATGGTAACTATGGATTTTTTTCCAAGCAGTATTGTTTTCCAAGCAGCACAATGTTTGAGGTGTAATCATGCCTGTAGCGCACATGACAAAGGTTAATACATATGGTTATTTTTACTGCTCCAAAGCACCAACAATTATCACACATTTGACTTCAGTTTAAGGTCATGCTTAGATTAAATGTCAGGTTATTCATTTGCTATGAGTTCAGTGGAGGAGAACATTAGCTTTTGTTCTCTAAACAAAATCCAGACCCAGCTGGCTGTACTTATACATGAGGTTAATGAGCCACAGCTAGTCTTGAACGAGGATTCGAGGTTCACATCATGTGAAAGGATACTCTTTACAGTACTATATCCTGTGCATGAGACCCTTTTGTTTATTTCCTTTCAATTTCGCTCCACCACCCAGCGGCTCCTATTGACACTGTGTTTGGCACCCTGGATCTGGTGAATGCCAAGATCACCCAACGATACTCCGATCAATCCAAACTGAGGGAAGAACTCGAGGGAGCTGGATCTTACACAATGTTTGCACCCAGTGACGATGCCTGGGAAGAGTTAGATCCTGTGAGTCAAATTCCCTGCCGCAGTTTTTGCATGCTATGTTTAAATCGGTGATCAAATGTGCGTGTTATTAAGAAGTGAAGCATTGACTGGAACTTATTAAAAATAAATAAATTGAGGAATATGCCGTCATGCTGTCTTTTTTTCAAAGCGCTGACAATTTAGCGTTGTTTCTCTATTTCCAGACTTTGAAAGATGCCTTGGTCAGCAGTGGAAACACTGAGCTTTACAATGCACTCCATTATCACATGGTCAACAAGCGTCTTCTCACCAAGGACCTGAAGAATGATATGACCCTAGAGTCCATGTATAACAAACAAGGCCTCTATATCAATCACTACTCAAATGGAGTATGTTTCTCTTTTCTTCAAATTCATCGTGTGTATGAAACCATGTTATTATTTATATAGTGTAGTATTTATAAATGTTTTGATTTAGCTTGTTTTAAGATATATTTTCCGTTTTAATTTAATTTTAGTTCATGTGCTTGTCATTTTTTTAAATAGATTTTTATTTATAGTTAGTTAAGCAAGTTTATTTTGATTTCAGTTTTTGTTGTAGTAATCATATTAGTTCAGCTTTAACTTTTTTTTTACTTCAGATTTATTAAATCAACAAAAACTATTTTTATATTAACATTTTTATACATATTTTTAGTTTTAGTTAACAATTAGAACACTGTTTGCACCTATAAGATTCTTAAATGTAAAGTCGGCAACACCAAAGCTCCAAAAGTATCAAAAAATTTATTTTTTTTAAAAACTGTCGCATAGCATATGTGACGTTTCGAGCACGCAGGCTCTTCAAGTGGATCATTTTTCCACTTGTTTCTTAGTCGAGCACCCAGTTGAGATAGATGTGCGTGCTTTTGCCTGCTCTTCACCTATACGATTCTGCCATTATTTACTCACCCTCATGTCTTTCCAAACCTGTAAGACTTTCTTTCATCTGTGGAGCACAAAAGATAGTTTGAAGAACGTTTTAACTATTTTTATTTGTTTTATTTATGCAAACAGGTCAATAGAGTCCAAAACAACATTAAAAACTCCGATATTTTCCAAAACATTTTCTATATTAATTTTTGGATGAGCTATCCTCAACTACAGTTTTAAAGTCACTAAACTTTTTTTCAACAATTTTGCAGGTTGTCACTGTGAACTGTGCCAGGATCATTCATGGCAACCAGGTGGCGACTAATGGGGTTGTGCATGTCATTGATCGGGTCATCAGCGTTGTAAGCCAAACCATCAAGGATGTGATCGAATCCAACGATGATCTGGCTTCACTGAACGTACGTGTTATCATACCCGTGGTTTTGTAAACAAATATGATGAAAACTCTTTGGAAGCTTTCTGAACTTTTGAAAAAAAAAAAAACATTCCTCAGCAGGGGCATATGATTTCAGAGAGTGATCTTGGAAAACATTTTGTTTGTGATGTCTTTTATAGACCGTTGCTTTGACATCGGGTCTCCAGGGTCAACTGGCAGAGCCCGGACACTACACACTTTTTGCTCCAACCAACGAGGCCTTTGACAAACTAGACAGTGATGTCCTTGAGAGACTTATGAGTGACACAACTGTACTTCAAGGTAAACATAGAGCACAACCACAGAACATCTTTTAGACAGTATAAAGGAAAGGATTCGTGTTGAGGTGGATGGAGTCTTGATGCACTACAAAGACAGTAACAATACTGTTATTGTGGTTTCATCACAGTAAGCTTCTGTGCAAAAGTTTGGGGTGTGTAAGATAGTTTTATTCAGGGTGCATTAAACTGAGCAAAAGTGATAGTAAAGGCTTTTATAATGTTTCAAAAGATTTCTATTTCAAATAAATTCTAAAATAAACAGAGAATCCTGACAAAAACAAACAAACAAATGTATCACTGTTTCAACAAAAATATTTAGCCGCACAACCATTTTCAGCATTGATAATCTTTAATGTTTCTTGCACAGCAAATCAGCATATTAGAAGGATTTCTAAAGGATTATATGACACCGAAGACTGGAGTAATGATTCAGCTTTGCCATCACAGGAATATAGTACATTTAAAAATATATTGAAATAGAAAGCAGTTATTTTACATTGTAAAAATATTTCACAATATTGCTGTTTTACTGTATTTTTGATCAGATAAATGCAGCCTTGGTGTGGTTAGCTTAAAAGACTTCATTCAAAAACATTCAACAACCAACCACAAACTTTTGAACAGCATTGTATGTGCACAAAACATGCACATAATGAATAATCACCTTCAAAGATTTGAAAGACTAGCAGCCTCATGTTTTAAGTAAACTGCACAAATGCAGTCCAATCCAAGCAGTGGCACATTCTCAGACGGCGGGCAAACAGCGGATCTGGCCGCAGCAACACGAGGATCCAAAACAAAGTTTGGTCAAGACCTCTAACGCTTCCTGATGGGAAATGCTTAGATGCTGAATAATACTTCATCTGATTCTGGTGAAAAATATTGAGAATTTTGTGGTCAGACAATCGTAAGTGTCGTAACAGACAAAATCTGTCTTCCTCATGAAAAATAAAGGGCCTCATTACAAATCTAATCAGTGTGACCTTTAGATGACTGAGATTATCATTATAGAAAAAGCATTCAAGAAAATAATGTCGAGACCAGGGGCGGCGTTTCCGTATGGCAGAGTATGGCAGTTACCATACCCTAGCCCAGTCAGGTGTGCCATGAAAAATTATCCAAACTTAATATCTCTATTATATTTCGTTATTACTATTTTAAATCAGAGGGTTTTTACAAATATTTAACCAATAATAAAACTTCATAACGCCATTGGATCCTCAAACTGTCAGCGAAACCTCATAACTTCACCCCGCCTCCATTCAGATTGACGCGCCGCGCACAGGAGGAGACAGCGCTTTTTTGCAATGCAAGGGTAACGTTAAATAAATAACTGACGTTTGAATAGTACCGCGTTTTCTTTACTCAAACACTATGTCTTTAAAGGCTAATGTTTTTGTGTGTTTGAAGAGTGGAGAAGAAGTAGGCTATTTGCCATGTAGTTGTAGCCAATATACTTTTTGTACGTTTTAAATATCCTGTGCATATCGCGCTTTCAGTATTTGGTTGTGCTGTGAGAATTTGCAGAGTGTTTCTGTGGTTGTGTTGTGAGAATTTGCAGCGCGTTTCTGTATTTGGTTGTGTTGTGAG